TTAGCTCACATGTGTTTAATAACACTGGTGCCAACAAATACAAGCTGAGCAGACTCCCCCGACAACGAAACATTGCCACAGCTCCAGTACTGATTTTAACCTGCGGCAACTCTCTAAGACAAATATGTCTGTCTATACTTAGCTTGATATATTCGAGCCTACCTCACACAGAGACACATGTTTCCTTTGGCCACCACGGCCATCCCATCCACACATACAGACATGCAGCCAGTTAGCCTGCTGATATTCAGAACAGGAAACGGCCTCTCGCAAGCTTCGGACTGTTCAGTCTGACAAAACAGCCAATAACAACTGGAGCTTTGAAGTCAACTTAACATTTTATTGTTAAAACGATAAGTCAAATCTCTTGGAGTGGAAAGATTATGAACAATGATTGCCTTACCCGTTGTGGATAGATATTTGAACGACCTAAAGTTGGAGCAATTGTTTACCTCTGGGCTGACCGATGAGCTAAAGGCTAGTCTGAGTGGAGCCGAAACTAAAGTTGCTTGCTGCCATCCAAGAGCAACCGTCTTAAAACATGATGGTGGTTCATGTGAACACTCCTTTAAAAACCTACACATCAGTTTCAATTTTTCAATACTTAATTGTTTATATACAATTTTATGGTTATTTTCAAGCGCTAATAGTGGCTGCATTTGCTAGTTCAACTTCTGGTGCAGCTAATTAATTGTTCCCCCCACGTTTCTTCACACTTCATGCTCTATGTTTGATTTAGACCAGGGCTATTCAAGAAAACTGCTCAGGGAGCCACAGTTTCTGAAAGCTCGGGTGCCGGACATCCACCGATTAAAATAATTATATACATAAACCAAAGCTTACAATGATCTGTTACCTTTTAAATGTGTTTATGTTATTACACTGAATCATAAATGCAATAAACAGAACCCCCCAATTATTTTTAATTTTTATAATTTTTTTTATGAAGTGTGCCAAATGGAAGTCACCTGCAGGCCGGAAATGGCTCGTGGGCCGCCAGTTGAATAGCCCCGATTTAGACACTAACTACAGAGGATTATTTGACACAACATCACTTTGAAAAATGACCTCATGAGGCAACTTTTGGTTACAAATGTGACTAAAAATAATTTACAGTTCGTTTCATTTTGTTTCTTCTTGTCTTGTGCTCACATTCTTTTAAAAAGACAGATAAAGATATCATTTTAATTTATTGCGTTCTGGAAAGGCATCAAAGTGTACAGTTTTCCATTATGACACCACGGCAACAAAATCAAAAGCACATTCCTGAGAAAGCCAAAATGCAATTTTCAAAACATCCACAGCTAAAGGAAACAAGAACAAAAAAAAGATGTGTAGCTGTGTGCACATCGGGGCTGCCAGAAATAATATGTTAAATCACTCGAAGAACGAAACAATGGTGTTTCTCTTTATCATCTGATGACTTTCATTTCAAAATCTCCTGAAAATGTCATGGGATGAAAGATAAATGGACTTAAACAACAACTTGACAAAAACTAAGCCAGATTACTGCACATGTAAGATAACAATGTCAGCTATGTCTGAGTGTTGTTTTGCAGAGAGGCAGGAGCTCGCTCCTTCATCAAGCTGCTTCCGTTAGATAGCCTACAATTTAAGTCTGGGTCCTGAGGCTGTGATGACGTGCAACACACACATTTTCTCTTGTTAGTTTTTTTTTTTCAGAGATACGGGAATCCACAGAAACACCAAGCTTTCACACTTTCAACAGTTGTGGTCAAATGGTCAAGCAGGAGTCCCTGCTGTACTGAGCCAGCAAAGAGAACATAACCTTATTAGGGAAAGTGCTGACGCCCTTATAAGGAGACACTTCCTCTCTAGTAACAGCTCAGTCTGCTGGCTTTTCGCTCACATTCCTTTCCTTCATCTCCAAGTTTCTCCGGGAGCTTTTCATTTCCGATTTGCTGGCTAGAGGAGCATGGCAGCTTTTCATGCGAGTCTAGCCTGGTGTGAGATCCCCTTTTCCAAAAGGGAAAAAAGAAGAAAAGAAAAATACACAAACCTCCGTCTAGCCTCTTTCCTGCAAGCCTTTACTTTGGGCTTGATGTAGTAAAATAAGCCTGGCCGGGAACAGGGCACACCTGGCCTTTCAAGTCCATCACAGACTAAACCTCATTAGGCAGGTGAGAAGTCCAAGAGCACGTAGACTTTGTTCTTGTCGCGTCAGCCCTGTATTACCTTCATGGACAGGGCTGTACTTTCACTGAAGTCAGCTCAGTGTTTTCAATCATTTATGCTGAATAGGACTCAGTGGACTCAAGATGTACTGTTCAATGTGAGATCAAATCTCCAGCCCCCGGTTTAAATGTTCCCTGTTCAGCAAGGAAACAAAGCAACTTAATGTTTAAATCAATTAGCATTTATTTTACAAAATTCTGGTCAGTTTTTACTTCATTATATCAGTATTTTTAAAGGAAAAATATAATGTCCTGTTCAGCTTACCTTGTTTGGGTTTCTTTAGCAATTCGAGGTGCTGTAACTCAGAAAAGAAGTCATCAGTATTCTGATTTTTATTCAACATCACACATTAATGACACAAAACAATACACTACACTTTATCTTAACTGTCTGTTGAACAGTACCCTGTATTATTTACAGAAATGACAATACTTTCAGTGTAGTACTAAGTTTGTATGCAGAGAAAATACCCATTTTCACCAATTATCTTCAAGTACAATTGTATGCAGATGATTCACTCCAATACCAGTAAAGCTGATGTTGTACAATGCTAAAATTGTTGCAGTAAACTTTGTGTTTTACATTTAAAACTTAATTAAAGTTAATTAAGCTACAGTTAAAAGCTGTGGAAAGAAATTATGCACAACAAAACACCAGTGCTGAAGTACGTGTTAAGTTCTTTACGGTGCATCGTATTTTCCTGTGGGCTGTGGTAGCTCTGTGGTCAGTGCTGTGGTCATGTAATCCTGAGATTGCAGGTTCGAGATGAGGTTACATCAGAAAGGGTATACGGCGTAAAACAATTTTTTAATGTTTCGTGCAAGTCTGTTTGCTGTGGCGATCCCAAAACAACAACATTGTATTTTCCTTAAAATAAGTTAGAATGATATTATAATTTCTTGAAGAAATGGCTATTACCTATCTCATACGCTAAAGTTTAAGCAAAGATCTTGTGTATTCTGCTAGCACTCAAAGAACGTGTTGAAAATGGCTTTCGGCTTCCACAACACCAAGTTTTAGATCAGTATATGTTGGATTGGCTGAGTTGTAGCCATTTTTGTTTGCCTAAAGCAATTACCTGTACCGACCATCTTGAGTTAAGTTGACTCTAAAACATACCGTATTTTTCGGACTATAAGGCGCACTTAAAATCCTTTAATTTTCTCAAAAATCAACAGTGAGCCTTATAATCCGGTGCACCTTATGTAGTAATTCTGGTTGTGCTTACTGACCTCGAACTGATTTCATGTGGTACACGGCGCTCAAAAATCTGTCAAAAATGTTTTTGTTTCGCTTAATGCATCTTATAATCTGGTGCGCCTTATAGTCCGAAAAATACGGTAATCAGTTATCGATGCACATCCATTGAATATTTTCTGAGAGTTTCATTAAAATATGTGCAGTGGTTTGTGAGTAATGTTGCCAACAGACAGACAAAAACAGACACAGTTATGATCACTTGCCTTTCATGCTTGCAGCAGTAATTATTGTACTAGTTAGAATAACAACACCACCAGCAGCTGCTGAATAAACACAGACTGGACAAAACATAAAAAACTCAACCATAAAGCATCAAATTAAACAGTTTAACTTTAGTTTACTCAAACATGTCTTTGCGTAGCTTGTCATGCTTGTGTTTCAAGATTTTGAATTCATGCCATCCACTTGTAATTCACAAATTTCATTTAAAAACATTTGATCTCTTAAAGGGGCAGCATATGGGAATTAGTGCCATCTAGTGGTAATGTTGCAGATTGCATCAATCTAAATATTGCCTTTTATGATTTTTCTGTGTTTTAAAGAAACTATAGTGGCTGAAACTATTCAGAAATTTGATTTGTTTATCCCAGACTGTAGAAATTTAGCAAACTCATAAAGAATGGGCCTTGTACTTGTAGATATAACTAACTTGTTTTGAAGACACAAATGTAGTTACGTTTGTTGTTGTTGTTGTTGTTGACGACCGTTAACAAAAGCATAGTTTTAAGTATCATTTTGCAATTCTGTAAATAGATGCAGAAGAAAACAGCGCACACATAATAAACTTAAATATAGAAACCTCAGCACAGAAAAATCCAGCTGCAGATTCCCAGACGTGATCACATGAGAACAAAAGGCAAAAGTTACGAGCCAGCGGCTGGCAGCTCTCTGCACTGAAATGAGTACCTTGACAGATAACCAGCTCAAGATAATGACTCCAATAATTTCCTTTTCCTGACCGCTTAATTTACCAAAGTACATAATGTTTGTGCGTCTTTGAAGCCAAGGTTGAGGAATGTTGTTGTGGGCTTAAAGTCTTAACCACCTGCTACTCATCAATCCATTTGTTTTTATGGTTTTTGCATTTTAATGAGCTTCTACCTGTTGTTTTGTAAACCGCTCCTCTTTCATGGTCAACTATAAGTGGCTTCACTTTTGAACTGTGTGTCCTTTTTCTCTTTCCTTCCTTTTTTAAAAAATAAAATTAAATATTTATAGGTAGTGGCTGTCTGTTTATGAAGTCAGTCTTCAGGAATTCCCAGTGTGGGGTCCCAGGCTTCCAAACCAGACTTGTCCTCCCGTTACAGATGAAAGCAGGTTTGCGAAAAAAAGAGAGAGAGGGAAACCGTGTTGTTTGGCTGAGCAGAAGTACCTTGCCTTCAGACGGCAGGAATGTGGGATGTCTGGAGTGGGGGTCAGGAAGCGAGGAAAGAATGCCAAGCATGTCCATGTTTATCCAGGGCTGGCTCTCCATTCAACCCCCAGTGACGTGCTGCGAGGGCCTGGGAGTATAAAGGGAGCCCGAGTGTGCAGTCAGAACTCAGATCAACTCCTCTACTGAAGCTAAACTCTAGCTTTCACTAAGAAAGAACTGAAAGACGGCGAGCGGAGCTGCGGATTGACAAGAGATCAACTTGATCAGAAGACTTTCACAAGCTCCAACTCTGAGACGAAAGGAAGACTTTCTCCACGAAGACTTTGGAAGAATTTATTACCGAAAACCTGAGAAGATGTCTGCTGGAATGAAGAAAATCATCTTGCTGCCTGTGCTGTGCATCATGTTCTCATACATGGTAAGCTCAACCAAAGAATTTAGTTATTATGACTTTTTACCTTCAGTCTACAATGACACGTTTTAAGTGTGTATATAGATGCATAATTCTGTCTGCAGAGCAAAGTGTGTGCACGATATTTACCGCCGCTTGTTTCTCTGTGCTCAGGCTGTGGGTCAGGAGTGCACCGGCCAGTGTTCGTGCCCCTCCACCCCACCTCAGTGCCCCCCAGGAGTGAGCCTGGTGCTTGACGGCTGCGGCTGCTGCAGGGTGTGTGCCAAACAAATGGGAGAGCTCTGCACCGAGAGAGACGTCTGTGATCCACACAAAGGCCTTTCCTGTGACTTTGGTGCTCCCACCAATAGACGCATCGGCGTCTGCACAGGTGAGCCACTGCCAAGTTTCTCACTGCACATCATCGTCCACAGTGTACGAGCCAAACCATGACCTCCACCTTGTATGTCCACAGCCCAAGAAGGAGCCACCTGTGTGATCGGTGGCATGGTATACAAAAGCGGGGAGATGTTCCAGAGCAGCTGCAAGTACCAGTGCACCTGTCTGGATGGAGCTGTGGGATGTGTCCCGCTCTGCTCCATGAACATCCGACTGCCCAGTCCGGACTGCCCCATGCCAAGACGAGTCAAAGTGCCCGGGAAGTGCTGCGAGGAATGGGTGTGTGATTCTCCCACTACAAACACCTTTGTGGGCACTGCTCTGGCTGGTAAGTGTCTTCTCGTTTGCTCTGCAAGCAACAAGATATATTTAGTCGCGTTATTCTAATCCAGTGTTACCTCATGTGTTTGTAGCATACAGAGAGGAGGAGACGTACGGCCCAGATCCCAATATGATGAGAGAGAACTGTCTGGTTCAAACTACTGAATGGAGTGCCTGCTCCAAAACCTGTGGCCTTGGAATCTCCACCAGGGTGACCAATGACAATCGCGACTGCCGCCTGGAGAAACAAACCCGTCTGTGTATGGTGCGACCGTGTGAGTCGCAGCTGGAGCAAAGCATCAGGGTGAGTTCTCGTTAAAACACGTCGCTCGTGAATGACCGCTTGCTACTACCCAAGAACGCCCTCTGAATTTGTCCGTTCTGGGATTTTTCTTTTTATGCAGAAAGGGAAAAAGTGCATCCGCACACCCAGAGTCTCCAAGCCCATGAAGTTTGAGATCTCTGGCTGCACCACTACCAAGTCCTACAGGCCAAAGTTCTGCGGAGTCTGCCTGGACGGCCGCTGCTGCACCCCCCACAGGACCACCACCCTGCCCATGGAGTTCAAATGCCCCGACGGGCAAGTCATGAAGAAGCGCATGATGTTCATCAAGTCCTGCGCCTGCCACTATAACTGCCCCGGGGAGAACGACATCTTCGAGTCGATGTATTACAAGAAGATGTATGGCGACATGGCGTGAGCCACAGAGAGACGATCCGAGCGTATGACTTGAAAACACAAACAGAACTTCATTTCAGTTCGCAGCTCAGTATATGTGTTTTTTAATTTTGAATTTTGCCATTTTCTCATGTGTTAAAGTAGCTCAGACACTCGTCTTCGTGTCTGGGAGTGTTGTACGGCTGGTGCATGGCAGCCGCTTAGACTCAGACAGAGGGTTGCCCTGCAGCTCCAAATGTTTCTGCACTATAACTATATGTGTTTTATTTTATTGTTATGACATGACAAACCTACTGTTTGGTTTCCGCCCAAATCTCTTGAATTTTATTATTTTATTTTTTTAAATCCGACCATTTTACTTTATGCATATTTATATCTAAATGCTGACCTCCTCTCTAAACGAGATGTTTGATTAGTCCAAGACCAGACCTGTAAACTCTGAGCAGCTGTGCTGGGAGCAAACACACCACAGCAAGCCAGTGTTTCACAGTCCAAACAGGTCTGAATGTGTCTTTGTGTGTGAGTTGAAGCCTTAATGTTAGTGTGGTCTATGTGTGTGTGTGTGTGCGTGTGTGTGTGCGCTTGCAAGTGTGTGCAAGAGTGGAGGAAAGGTCAAAGCTTTGGCCCAACATGTGGATGAAGAACCAAGCAGCGTGCTGAGTTTAGGAGTTGCAATGGCACTAAGAAAAGATACAAATATGGTGACATCTTTTAAAAACAAGATTTATATCAATCCAAAATCAGAACAAGTAGACTTTTATTTTGAAGTTGAAATGTTTCACATCCCACTCACTCCTTCTTTAAATTATGGAAAGTGAAATAACTTCAACTTCACATTATGTCTAATTGTTTGTTTTTAGTTTGCCATGACTGAGAATCCACACGAGCATACAAAAAAAAAAAAAAAAAACCTTACAGACTGGAAGAATTGTAATTTCATTCCTTTTTTATTATTTGTTAATATGTAAATCGTGTATATATTTGTACAGTTTAAGTTAATTTAAAAAGTCCATTTTGTTCTGTGCTTTAAAATGTAATATTTTTTTTTCCCAACATAAATTTTTACTGTTTTGTTGAGAAGCGTGACGAAAAATGTTACATGTTTCACTGTGTAGCTGGGAATAAATTGTTTTATATTTTTGTACAAATGAGTTCTCTGGTTGTTTTGTCTTCATTCTGACTAAAACTTGTTGCAGACTCAGAATAAGAACCACTCTTTAGTTTTTTATTTTACTTTTTTATCTTAAGAACAAAACACTTTACGTCAAATGTCCCATAGTTGCCTTTCAGTCAGAGTTTAAATCAAAAATCTTCAATTTTTTTAACTGCTTTTCCGCTGATGACTCTCAGCTACTACCACACCAGGTTTTAAATCAGTATCTGTCAAACTGACTGAGGTCCAGCCGTTTTGTTGTTGGCTTAAGATAATTAGCTGTGGCAACCTTCTTACTTTGGGTTTTGGGGATGACTCTCAGCTACTACCACGTCTAATTTTAGCTCAAAATCTGTAGATCTGAAAAACTTATAGGCATTTTTGTCATATCTATATTGATTAACTGCAGCAGCCATCTTGAATTGGATCCATCCATCCATCCATTATCTTTACCCACTTCTTCCTTTCTGGGTTGCAGGGGTCACTGGTGCCCATATCCAGCAATCATTGTGCGAGACTCGGGGGACACCGTGGACAGGTCTCCTCTTCATCACAGGGACACATAGAGACAAACGAGAAAAACAACCATTCACTCTCTCACTCTCACCTAGAGACAATTTAGAGTTACCAATCAGTCTAACATGCATGTTTTTGGTCTGTGGGAGGAAAATGGAGTACCCGGAGAAAACCCACACATGCACGGAGAGAACATGCAAACTCCACCCAGAAAGCCCCCCCCCCTCAGCTGGGATTTGAACCGGGCAACCTGGTCACTGAGAGGCAGCAGCTCTACCTACTGCGCCACCGTGCTGCCCTTGAACTGGATCCATTTCAAAATGTAAACAGTTGTAGACGTGCATTATGAGAGCCTATTAAAAGCCATCCAGTAGTTCATGAAATATTTTGCTGACAGACTTAAAGGGTTGATGCCAGCACATTACACAATGTGTCGAGCTTTGAGTATGTGTTTGGGATCATGCTCAGCTATTATCAAACCAAATTTTAGCTTAATATCTGTAAAATTGGCTGAATTTTAACCCTTTTTTATTATTTTTTGATTTATGAGATATTTTAAGAACAGCGAGAAACATACAGACACAGGCAGCAACATATCACCCCTTCACCGTTAGATAATAAAAGTAATGAGAATAAAGTCAGAGTCAGAGTTTCTTTATTGTCATTCGCACCTCATGTGGTACATGTGGTGGAGCGAAATTATGTACACGCGGTCCCAGTTACATCCAACAATAAAATGTATAAGAAAAACAGTAATGACATCTAAGATATGAACTAAGAAAAACATCAACTAAATATACACTAAGGACTCATAACATAAAACATTGAACATCAACACAAACATGAACATGAGTCTGTGAGCAGATGTGCACGCATGAACACATCAACATTAAAACAGATCAGCAGCAACATGAAACAGATCAGCAGCAACATGAAACAGATCAGCAGCAACATGATATGGTTTTTCACAGTGATTATTCTGGTTAGAGATGCATGAGTCTAACAGCCTCAGGGTAGAAGCTGTTCCTCAGTCTAGTGGTTCTACACTTAATGCTCCTCAACCTCCTTCCTGAGGAGAATGGGGCAAAAAGTGTGTGTGCTGGGTGAGTGGGGTCCTTCATGATGCAGGTGGCCCTCTTCTTACATCTGGAGGTGTAGATGTCTGTGATGGTGGGGAGGCTGATTCCGACAGATTTCTGTGCAGCCTTCACCACTCTCTGCAAAGCTTTTCTTTCTGCAGCTGTGCGGCCTCCATGCCACACGTTGATGCTGGAGCACAGGATGCTCTCCACTGCACACCTGTAGAAGGAGGTGAGGACTGAGCTTCCCAGACCAGCTCGCCTCAGCCGTCTGAGGAAGTAGAGTCTCTGATGAGCTTTCTTCATCAGGCTGGTGGTGTTGTTGCTCCAGCTGAGGTTGTCATTCATGTGTACACCCAAGTACTTGTAGCTGGAGACCACTTCCACCACAGATCCTCTTATGTTTTATCCTCTTATGTATTATCTTCTTATAAACCTGCTTCAATCGTCTTTTTTAAGTGATTATGAGCAACTGTTTCATGACTAAAACAGGAGTAATGTAGAGGATGTAAGTTTTGCTTAAGTTGCTGGTTTTTAACTAGATGGTCCATGCCATATGTGTCAAACTCAAGACCCGGGGGCCAAATGTGGCCCTCGTTGACATCTTATCTGGCCCCCAAGCTGATATGTGAAACGTTAAATGCTTCTATCTCTTTGTTTTTTCAGTAATCTTAGATTATAATGCTGAAAGCACAACAGTTAACATAAACTGACACCAACCAAACTCTTGTTGAGAAAAGTGTAACCAAGAAAAGATGTTGGGTATCTATTTGAGTTAGTGTGGCTTTTGAAATTGGCCCTTAGTTTGAATAAAGTTTTAATTTAGGCCCCTTTTGTAAGTGAGATTGACACACCTGGTCTATGCGTAACACTCACACTGGCTAATCTTCTGTGATGGAGAAACATCATGAGATTTTAGAGAAAAACAAGTGGAAAAGTCCTGTCTTTTTACCACAACGTTCTGCAGCGACGCTGTTAAAGGAGGTGTGGCGTGTGCATTTTGTTTCATAAAAGTATGAAAATACTTCAGTGGAAGGATTGAGGCTTGGCTGCATGCAATGAAAGTTCTGACAGGATGATATTCTCAAATGACGTCTTCAAGAACAACTCCCAAAGGAAGAGCTGGACTTTGGTAGAAAAACAAGAGCAAGTTCCATCAGGACGGTGTCCCTGAACGCCTCATTCACTGACAGCTCCTACAGGTGGACTGAAATGTTCAAATGTCGCCCTCTTGTGCCCTTTCTAATTCATCAGCACAAAATGTTCAACTCTACACTTGACTGTTTTTCATCTACACCCAAAAAAAAAAAAACCAAAAACTTAAAATGAAGAGGAGATCCATAAGATTGTTGAAGGTTATTTGAATTTTGTGGACGTCCACCGGTGAAAAATATAGATGTGTTTTAGTTTATTTAATGAACGATTTATGAAATGAGTTAAATGTTCATTTTTATTTATCTATTTATTCTTCGTGTAAGCAGACAAATCCCACTGAAATCACAAATCTCTTTTTCTAGAGAGGCCTGAGCCTGAAGGCAGCCCAGCACGCATGTTTTGGTCTGTGGGAAGAAACCAGAGTACCCAGAGAAAACACACGCATACACGAGGAGAACATGCAAAATCCACACAGAAAGACCCCAGGACTAACCCGGGGATTGAGCTCACAAACTTCTTACTGTGAAGCAGCAGTGCTAACCACTAATCCACCATGCTGCCTCATGATTCAATACTTGGTTCCATTTTAATGGATTAATTTAGGTCTTTTCTGTCTTGTGGCTTTTCAGTGTGACTTTTTAAATTAGTGTGAAGTAAATAAGCTTTGGCTTCCATCCAATTATTGTGTTGTTATTGTTTATTGTAAAATGAATGATTCTTCAATTTGGTTATGTAAAACAGCTTTTGCCAAGCGTTATGGAATTTGTCTAAAACGCTGGAGTATCCTTGGGCCAAACACTGCATTCTCCTCATTACCTCCCACATGCTTTTCAGCGTATGAGTGAAAAATACAAAAGTGGTGTATGTGGACAGAGTGTACATATAAAATAAAATAAAAAACGATACGTGGGAGGAGGGTGTGTGAAGGAGTACGTGATAAACACATTGTGAAGCACTTCGCAGAAGCTGGACGAGGTTAAAAAGGTGTGCTTGGCATCGAAGCTGAAAAAAACGTTCATTTCTTCACGTCTTCAACATTCTTAAAACGATTCAATGGGTGCATCACTTTTTTCAGCCATTAACCCAGTTTAATTATAATGTAATGCTGTGTAAAGTTTGGGGTTTAAATTAAAGGTGCAGTATCTCAGACTGTTGTTGAGCAGAAGACGAATCAACTGAAGGTTTGTTCGCAGTAATGAGGCAGTTGCTCCAGTCTGTTGTGAAGGAGCTGAGCCAAAAGGCAACGCTTTTGACTTGATGGTCCTTTGTTGCGACACTCATGACATGTGGATCATAAATCAGAATGAGATATATCAATCTTGGATTTTGATGCGGCCACACACTAAAATATAAGCTGGTCCCTCACTTATTTTTCAAGTTATGCTCACAATATGCATGAACGGACAGGGGAGCGTTTCCATTTCCCCCTCTTCGCACCGTGGCGGGGGAGAAAAAGTGGAAGAAAGTTGATGGATGGAAATAATAGGCAACACAAAATCACCTTCCTGCTACGTTTAAAACAGTTTGCGCTCAGTTTATTATTATTAATATTATGTTTTGCCTGCCAGGCTTTTTAAAACTCACCACATTTGTATTTGGTGCTGCCTGCCAGCAAATGTCGATGCAGAGATGCAGGTTTAAATCTTTAACCAGTTTACAGACACATTCACAGCTGCCCAATGAAGCTCAGCTTCTATCCACATTATGCAAGAAGAGAAAACTGCCCCGACCAACACAGACCCTTTTTATTTATTTATTTATTTAAAATAACGACCAGAGAATTGTGATGTCTAAACTAAGGGTTGAAATTTGTGCAGGAGCTGAATAGATGGCGTCAACAGCCAATGTGTCATCCTAATGATTCATCCTGTCAGCTTCCTCGCCCACAAGCAAACAAGTGCAAACTTCATCCACATTCACACACAGGACTTTTCAGTCAAGACCCTGGTTTCATGCTGGATTGTGAGAGTAAATTGTGAAAATGTAAGGAACTAACGCTAATGCGTTTTCCAATTCTGCACGTGAGCATGCACAGTATGCTAAAAAGATCAGTCAAAATTTGAGATGTGGAATGAATTTTTCAAAACAGACACATCCAGAATCAGTTTGTTTATTTTCTTACATAAATTCATGACAATGTTAGATTAAAACGCAGTCATTTGCCTGCTAAAAAACTAACTTATTGCCTGGGCTTGATTAGAGTCCCCTGTGTCCACTGCAATAGGTCAGCATCTGTTTTCTTCTTGTTCTCTTTAACTTATTAAATAAAGGTTTTACAAGCTGTTACTGTACAACTCCACCCTGAGGGTGTGTATGTCTACTTGAATTAGCCTCAGCTCCTCATATAAATCAATGCTCAGTTTTAAATAATCAAGATAAAGAAGAAACGATTGTACGACTGTCAGAGAACATGGATTTATCCCTAAAACTCTGCACAGAACTTGTGCATTTGTACGGTGCTAGTCTTCTAGCTTCAACCTACAGGATGCTACTTTAATGTGGGAAAAGTAATGAATAATAAATAAATAAAGCTGCAGCAGTGTGGCTTCCTAGAATAAAAATAACAAAAGATAAAACCTTATCACACATCCACACTATCTATCTGTGGAAACCAGGCGTCTGGTGAAGCGGAGAAGAACAAGGAGTCAAACTGGTGCCGGTCCTTCTTTCAGCCTCGACGCAGATCGTGGAGTTTCTGGGCAACGCTTTCGAGCTCCGACTCGATGGCTGCCAGACTTTCAATCTCCGGCTCCTGCAGGCGTGAGAAGACAGGATGTGAGGACAGAAGAAACCAGCAGCTTCACGTTCTGCACCTGCTCTGTTTCGTGCGAGAAACCAGTTCATGAAGTTTCTTCTCATATCAACTATTTAACAACGTGAAGGCTGTGCAACGTTTTGCAGTCACGGAGGGTATTTCAGTGCAGACTCTATTCTCTTAACTTCTACAGAATAAAAAGCTTTCCTCTTTCTGCATTGTACCTGTACATTGTTTGACCTTGAGGTCACGAGGAAGAAAAAACAAGTCAGCCTTGTTCTGTAGGAGTTGACAGCCATTCTTACTTGGGATGTCAAAAACAGTTTTTCTGTCTCTTACAGGAATATATGATGTAATCCATCAGTTCTTCAAAGTGAGAATATTTTTTCAAGTCAGAAAAATCATTTGAAATAACCCTTAAAGTCAGATCTATCATTAATGACTTGGAAAGTCAGAGATTTTTGCCCAATTCAATATGGCTGCTTAGCGCATAAAAACTGCAGTAATTAACTATTTATTTTATATTTTAATGGTTTGCCTCTTCTTACATCAGTCACACAGATGTTGCACAACATCTGTTAGTGTTTCCTATTATGCTGTATGCAGTAGCAGTTTTAGATATGGGTCGTATGACTCATGTTATCTGTCACTAGCGCCCTGAGCTAGTTTCTGTCCAGTTAATTTGAAGTGGGTGCTCTCCAGTAAATGGTGAATTTATATTTCCATTTTAATTCCCAAGTATTTAAATCTGTCAGTATCCTTTTGTCCTTTTACTTTCAATGCACTGATTTGGTGTAAGCCCTTCATCAAACATCTATCTTGAAAAGGTTAGGGAACATCCCACTACTGCTTGACTGGTCTTAACGTGCTTCATGAAGGAGCTTACAAACACGTTGGACACCAGGAATATAAAAACCTGCTGCGTGCAAAACAACAACAACAAAAAAAAACATGCACCGATGGTCCAGATTTAAAGGAGCACCTCTTTTCTAATCCCGCTTCCTTCATCCTCCATCCCCTTCTTCTCTTCTTGTGCCCCATGAGCAATCAGCTGCAGCTCCTTCTCCTCTGGACTCCTCTGAGCACCTCGTTTCTCCTCCTCCTCTTCGTCTGTGACCTCTTTCGAATGATGAGGCACCTCCTGCTGGCTGCTGAACTGCTGCTCCTCTTTTTGGACTGTTTTCTTCTTCACATGTGAGGACCTGGTCCTCTTGGTCCAGTGCTTGATGTTCTCCTTGCCGTCTCTTTTCTTTTTATCTTCCTCCTCCTCCTCTTTGCTGTCAGGTTTATGTGGCAGCAGCGCAGACCTTTTGCCACTTTCCTCTTTATCTTGCACCTCTAGGCTGCCTTTTGTTGATTCGTTTCTGGAAGTGGCGCTCGTTTCATCAGACCCATCACCTGGACATATAAATAAATGAATAAAAAATCAAACATGAGCAAGACTCCACTTCCTGTAATGAAGTATTTAACGCCAGCTGGCAGGGCTGTCGACAGTTTATGTGGATTATCAGCATAAGTGAAATAATCAGATGACTTGGCTGCTTTTATAACATAAAGCTCATTTCATTTTGCTGGGAAACCTCTGCAGACATAACCAAGAGTCTCAACATATAAATGATTTAACCGTGTGCCACAGCTCATTTGAATCTTAGGATATGAAGGTATTTAATCAACTCTGTTGGTGCTCTGTCAGTATGCCATTCCTCCTGGCTCCTTCCTGTGGAAGGAATAAAATTCATCATGTATATGGAAGTACTTCCATCCATCATGTGTCACGGCTGGAGCAGTTTATCATGCACTTTATTTGTCCGAGATTTAGCTATCCACCCTCAGTCGGTGTTGTTTGAAGTTTTATAACGTGCCCTTTATTTCTGGAGTAAATATAAATCTGACTCGAGTGGATGCTTAAAATGTCAAGCCTGAAACTGAGGATGCATGTCTCCTGTCATCCTCCCTTTCTGCAGCTTGAACATCGAACAGATAGAAGCCAAAGATAGAATAATTAGCTCGCCTCTGGTTTCCTTCACTTCGCTTTCCTCTTTTGAATTCTCCTCAGAGTTTGTTCTCGTCTTCTTATGTCCTCCATGGTTGTTAGCGTCCTCTTTTCTCCTCTTCACTTCCACCTCTTCAGCTCCACTGTCCTCATGTGACTCTCTGTCTTCGCTGCTCTCATCCTCCTCTTCTCTCTTCCTCTGGGATAGGATGGATCTTTCGCCGGGGCCCCCCAAAGCATCCAACATGGATCGATCTGAAAACAGAGAAAGGCTGGAATTGAATTCCCTTCAGGAAATAGATTTTCCTGTCGTGTAGAGACATTTCTTCTACAAAGAGCGTAAGGTTTGATGTACTTTGTAGAATTGAGCTTGTTTTTGATTGTTGGAGTGATTCAGCTTATTAATGATGTAATCCATTATTTTTTGGAGTGTTTCTTAAAAACCGGTGCGTTGCCTGATTCCTGTTTTGTGATTTACAGGAAGTCTTGCAGTGACTAACAAAGCTAGGTGTGGGAGGACCTCATGCATGACCTCATTCTGTCCATAAAACACATGAGCAGACTTTAAACTCCCTTAAGCACGTTCTTTCCTAAAAGCACTACCTTGATGAAAATGTCACCTTGGAAAAATTTAAGTAATGCACCTTTTTACAATTCAAAAATATTTAACAAATGTTTCCTGTTTGCAAAAGATCATGACTCCAAAGTACGGAAATAAAGACTCACCAGCGACGCGATCCTGTGTGTGAAGAGTTTTTGTCGTGGGGGTGGGTGAATCAGCGGATCTCTGCAGCGCAGCCCTCCTGTGACCTCCTTAAAATATTATATAAATTTAAAAAATATATAAAAATCATAAGCTTTCTGTATTATCCGTCATTGTTAATTTGCATGCATGAGCATGCACAGTCAGCACACAAACAAACATTTGCTCTGAGTAATCAGTGACTCACCTTGAACAGTGATCTCCTGCAGCTCCTTCAAAAAGTTGTGATGACGAAGGATAGTCAGGAGCCTGTCGTCTGCACCGACAGAAAGACACGAGTTATGATGCGTCTCGTAGTAATTCACACAAAAACAAGCAAATGAAAACAATTAAAAGCCTAGAATGTGAGCTGCATAATATATAGCAAATTTATCACCTCATGATGAATGAATGCAACATCAACATGGAAAAAGACTTAATAAATAATCAACCATAAAGTTTCAGCTTCCATGCGTTCATGTTCTGCTGCTAAACATAAATGGTCAGTCCAACAGACTCGCTGGACTTGAAGCCAACACCTGGTTTAGGTGATGACAGAAGAGAAAGTGAGGAAAATGTAGGTTTATCACAAATTATATATATATTTTTTGTAACATCAAGCTATTTTATCACACATCACATATATTTTAACATTATGCAGGGATGGGGAAGTTAAGTGAAGGTCATGATGTTCTCACTTGCTAATGTTAAATTAATACAGAACCATGTGTGTGAAGTCAAGAGAGCCTTTCTGTCTCCTCAGAGAGGAGTCTGATAAATGATAAACTGACGCCTTCAACAACTGTGAGCTGTGAAAGAGGTCGTTGACCTCGTCTCTGTCTAATAACGAGTATTTAAGCTTTTCCTAAACTCGCTGTCCGCGGGCAGACCTTGGAACGGAGCCACATGTACATTACCATATTGTATGCATGTTTGCAATGCTGCACCCAATGCAAGCATTAAACCTGGGTTGAAACATTTTCTTGGATCCTTCTTGTGTGGCTTATTTGATTAAAGAGTTAAAGATAGGATAATTAAATTATCCAACAACAGCCATAGAATTACTTGAAGACATGCAAATTGTTTGGAACTATCTTAGTTGCAAAGTGCATTTGTTTTGTCTCAATATCTGTAATATTGAACAATTTATAACCATTTTTCCAGTTTGCCAAGGCTGATTATCTTTAGCAGCCATCTTGACTCTAAAAGTCACCTTTTACCTTTTTGACAAACCAAACTAAAGGCAACGAAGGCAGTTCTTCAGGGGATAAAACACAAGCGAACACCTTTCTTCTTTATTTTCTATTAAGGACTCAGCAGTTCACATCTCATCGGAGTTAATTGCCTGTGAACGTACTGCTTTCAAAGCAAGAAGACAATTAATCATTTGGCTCATAGAGGCCCCCCCAGTGAATTACAGCAGCAGTTCTGCTGACCCACAAACAGCACTGCAGACTGCTGGAAGCAGCAGTGGGCAGAGACGGTACCGTGCTCTGGTAGGACTGAGATTTGTCTCTTCCTCTTTACTCCCCCTCTTGTTTTTCCATCCATCTGGTGGTGTACTGTTTCCTGCTCTCACAGCGCCTGCTCCAACCTCTCAAAGAGTACAGCTCGGATTGATTTTGTTTTGTTTTTAACGGCAAGGACGGCGTGAAGGTAAAACAATGGCCGTGTAACTGAATCGCCTTCGCAGAGCGCTGGCGACCCTGATGCAGAAAGTGCTTTGTGGCAGGTTTTTATCCGTCCGTGACGGCACCAATCCATTAAACCTGCGATGAGGGCATTGTGCTCTGATGATGTAACAGCAGAGTTAGAAGTGCTACTTCTAATCTCTACCGGAGCTCGGCAGTGATGCAGGCGATGAAACTTAATAATGATGAATGTGGTGCAAATAAAGGCCCACACAAACTGAAGAAAGAACGTCTTCATGGCAACATAGCACATTATTCTGAATCCCACAGATCTGGAAAATATCAAAAACCAAAATCTGTTTTGAAGAAATCTTGAATGATCATAACAGCTATTGACAAACACTCCAACATCAAGTTTATAATAATTTAAGCTAAGAGAAAGACCCACATTTTGATGTGAACTGTATCAAATATGTAATAAACTGTCAGTTGCACCTTAGGATCACCATGGTAACCACAAACTTGTGTCTCTCACTCACTTGAAGCACTTTAAATAAAGACAGAAACAAACTGAAAAATAAACAGCCGCTGGTCCACATCTATAAATCATTCTTAAAATGAGCCAGGAGCATCAGAAGGTGAAGGCCACATGTGCCCATTTCTGTTGAAGTTCAAGTTCCAACGCTGAAGAGAAACTCGTGTGTTGAAATATGTGTGAAATCTATGAAAGCTTGGCTGTGCACTCGCTGCACCCTGAGGAGATTTGATGAAATAAGTGCTGAAGCAGTGAGCGACACGTGGGGCGAAAGAAGGAACTTGCCTACGTTTTGTTGTATAAATTGCACTTGTTCCGAAAAAAAGTTGTGAATGTAAGAATAGTTTGTTTGCAAAAGTTTGTAAAGACTAGACAACTTGAAAAAAATTAGTCACAACTTCATCAGTCAATTAAAGAATCTGTGAAAAAATGTGCAAAAATCTATAAATCTAAAGCTGTGAGTAAAAATCGTTAAAGATACCAAAGAGTCTGCTCAGACGTGTAGAATCCAAGGTTCTGAGACCTGTTGGGACTTTGAATGACGCCTCAACAGTCGGGTCAGCTCCAGAGGGCTGGGATTTCCCACGTTTCACTAAAACCCTGCTGCTGTTTGTGGAGACATTTGTCGCAGTGTTAACTAAAAATCACAGCACACTGTTCCCAATCAAGCTGTAGCTGAAGATAGTAAAGTAAACAAAACCAAGAGATACTACAGCGTCTCAAGATATGTGTTGTGTTGTTGTCATATACCAGTTGTTAATTCAATTCAGTTTATTTATATAGCACCGAGTCACAACAGAATTCATCTCAGGGCACGGAACAGAAACATTCATATATAAAAATAATAATTTAACATTATTTATCGGAGGAGCAGACTGCTTTGAATTGAACTCTAATGCAGAACTCTCATCTTGAGCAAGCATGAAGGCGACAGTGGGCAGGAAAAAACCCTCATGAGGAAGAAACCTTTAGCAGAACCAGGTTCAGGACAAGCGGTCATCTGCATCGACCGGCTGGGTTTGAGAGGAACAGGAAGGAGGAACAGATACACAATGGCAGATCAAGAATCACATGTTAAGATAGAAATAATATCAAATGAAAACTATTTAATTTTAAGAATTAATTTAAGGAACTGAGGACAATTTGTCCTCCAGTAATCTAAGCTTATAGCAGCATGACTGTAATTAGTGCTTAGTGTATTAGTAGTTTAGCCTATTTCTTAATTCATGTCTTGGATTTTATTACTGTTTTTCTTTACAATTTGTGTTTTTGTTGGACGTAACTGGGACCCTGTGTCCATAGTTTGTTCCACCTCATGTACCACATATGATGTGAATGGCAATAAAAAACCTTGAATCCTTGAACAAGCCGACCCTAACTATAAGATTTATCAAAAAGGAAAGTCTTAAGTCCAGTCTTAAAACTGGACAACGTATCAGCCTCATGGACAGAAACTGGAAGTTGGTTCCACAAGAGAGGAGCCTGAGAACTGAAAGATCTTCCTCCTACTCTGCCTTTGGAAACTCTAGGAACCACAAGTAAACCTGCAGTCTGAGAGCGAAGTGCTTTGTTAGGAAAATATGGAACAATAAGATCTATGATATAAGATGGAGCTAGGTTGTTGAGGGCTTTGTAGGTTAGAAGTAAGAGTTTAAATTATATTCTGAATTTGACAGATATTAATTATTATTATTATTTATTTAGAAAAATACAGCAACATGGGAGTTAAGGAACCACCTTCTAATATATATAGATGTTTTTATTTACAGTTATATTGAGAAAAGCACAGTCACTACTCAACTTATTGAAGCTCATCCTCTCCTAAATGTACAAGTATAAAAATATTCAAATTATCTCCTGAGACCCTGCATCCTAATGTTGAGGACTGTCTGGCCAAGGCAGGCAGTGGGGGGTGCCACCATAAAGGTGGGTGTTGCCTTCTCCCCCCCAGTGTCACCCCTGGTTATAATAAAATTTCCCTGTGTTACTCATCAAGGCCAGCCCAATTTTACATTATGTTGTGGCTTTGTGTACTTTATTCTGCATTTTAAATATTGACTGAAGAGTATTTAAATTCTGCAGTTGATATTTTATATGAGCTGTTATGTGGCTACAATTATGCACTTTAATAAATGCAAATATTGAATTGTGTTTCTGAGGAAATTGAATAAGGCAAATTATGTCCATGTTGCACTTTAAACACATTCAGAAGACCACATGTTGCATCCGTATTTGAAACGTGTTAGAAATCTTTATAAAGTCGTGGAAACCTGTTTGAAAGTGGCCGTTACGTCATGTTGTTGCACCACGCAGCATGCATGTGTCACGTCGTCTCGTTTTCTGAACCGTGCAAGTGTTTTTTGTGTTCACCTGTTTTCAGTGTGACCAAACACTGCTGACTGATGGGCATGAGGTGTGGCCTCGACAGCACGTCGGCCAGCGCCTCCACGACGCATTTCATCACCTGCGGACAAACCAGTGCCCTTTACTTTAATGTCACAGAAATGGTCAAAGTAGACACCTAGCTATAAAATTAGATACATTAAGTGGTTGTGATGTTTGTGGTTAAACTATGATGCTGCTATGGTCCCCATTATTTATGAATGTGCAATAAATATTCATACACTCTAATTCTTCTGATAGTCTTTGCTTGCAGCTCATTGAATTTCCTCACAGATTTAATTATTTACAACTCTCCTAATGAGAAATCAGCGCAGCATTTTGTGTGCTTTACCTATACAAACACTTTTTTTTTATTTGTCTTTCACGCGCCTCCTCTTTCTATAATTGCTTCCCTGTTCTAGAAAACTCTCTCAGAGCCTGCTTCTCCTACATCCAGGAGGTCAAGGTTCTCCATTGCTCTCTAATGATTAAGTATTAATTTTCATCGAGCTGCAGCCCCCCAGTGAAGGAGCTCAGAGTTCAAATGCAAGGATTAGATATTTCTAACAGCAACCTTTAGAGATGATAAACTCTTACCTCCACGTCCTCATTCTCCAGCTGACTTGAAGTCACTGGCAATGACGGGACTGCAGGAGAAACAAGAAGCGCTCTTTAGATGCTGTCCTTGGTGCTGAACTGCGCAGCCACATCTCCACATGCACGCCACACGACTTCAACACAATCACAATTAATATCATTATTTGTCTCACCGCTGGTGGATAAAACAGCCAGAAGGAAGACTCCTCTCCAGATCATCTTGTTGGAAACGAGGTGAATTAAGCTCTCCAGGAATAAAACCAAACAGCGAAGCTTTTTCAATTTGTTTATTCTTTAATCAGAAGCAGCTGGGGTCTGCAGTAAATCCTCCTCACAGACGCATTCCGCTGGAAAAACTTGGTCGCCTTTCGGTATTTCTGGAGAGCTAAATTTTCTGCTGCGTCGGCAGCGTCCCCGCCACTCCTGGTCTCTCAGCCGACTGACTTCACCGCGACAGCCACGCTTTTATAGAGAGGGAGAGCGGAAGTGACGTCACCATAGGAGAAGCGGTTATTATTGCGCCTGGATGGTGGTTGTCAGGGCGTGTGCAGGTGCAGGTGAGCTCAGGGGAGGAAGGTGACAGGCAACTCACCGTTTTATCTTCTGATTGTTTTTTTATTTGTGGTTGAGATCAAACTGACCAGTAAATGTTTTCTTCACGAGTCATACGAACAGATATGAAGCTAGCGTTCATTTGATGAACGCATTTAGACCTCATGCCATTGTTTTATATGAGCAATCCAGTGGAGCTCAAACAATGCATTGAGGATCACTCTCAGCTACCACCTCACTAAGGTTCGTCTGTAAAAATCGAGTTCTAACCACGTTTTGGTTTGTTGAGGTCGATTGACTGTGGCCATCTTGAGAAAGGGAATCAGTTGTAGACATAAACACAATGATTACTTTCCAGGGTTTTTAATAGGATTTGATGAGTGGTTCATGAGATATTGTGCTAAAAGATGAACAGATGCGGGGCTGCCTTTTATGGCAGTGGATGATAATTAAACTCAATGGTATTTACTTTTCACCCTTGTATGTATAAAGTTAATAAAATGCATTTGAATCAAACAGAGTGTAGAAAGTGTATACTTGTATAATACACAGGAAAAAAAAACACTTTAATCAGTCTTTATAAGTGTATTTATTGCTCAACTGCTTGACATTTCTTTTTTAATCATGTTACTGAATGGTGATCAGCTGAATCATGTTATAATTGACTTGTGGGATTAGGATTTTTGTCATGTATGATTGAAATTTTTGTAAAGAGTTGACAAGTAGAAGTATTTAGGAGTGAAATAAAGACTTTTACTAACTTAAAATGGCATAATTTTAGAAGGCCTCGTAGACCAAATTTATTTATTTGTTTATTCATTCATTTAAAAGAAAAAAAAGAAACAAAACAAATTAATCTAAAGGAAAAACATTGAATGAAAAGGGTGCACAAAGAAGATTTTTTTTTTTTTTTTTTTTTTTAATAATATCTGCCCCTTATTTAAAAAAAATATATATAAAATAACTACAAAAACAACTCTTTTTTTTATTTATCTGGAACAGGTCCCTCTTGTAAATTTATTTGATTTATTTATTTGTTTATTCATTCATTTAAATGAAAAAAGAAATAAAACAAATTAATTTAAAAAAAAAACATTGAATGAAAAGGGTGCACAATGAAGAAAAAAATTCTTATAATATCTGCCCCTTATTTAAAAAATAAAATAAAATAACTACAAACAAATTTCAAATTTAGATCATTAAAGAAGTAGGCAAGTACAGATCAAATGTGTAGCATCTATGAACGAACGGAAGAAGAAGGGTGACGCTTGCTCCTCAAGTTACTTCTCTTTTATTGTTTGTCTTACACTCGTTACAGCGGGGCACCAGCTGGTCAGTTTATTGGGCAGCAACAACTTTATTCATGTATTCATCCTTTAATGACCAGAACTCAGTCACTGAAGTAGAATCCATTAACTACAGAGAATTCTATACCATAACATGTATTTTCATCCAAATGAGGAGATCAAATATGTCTTTTGAGTTTCATTACAAAAATAAGAATCATCAACAATAATAAACAAATTGAAGAACACTAATATAAAGGATAATAATTTGGAGAATAACTTGTTTTAAAAGTAGTAAAGCAATCCTGAACACTAAATAACTAACCAATTAAGGATTAATTCTCTTTTATCTAAGGTAAAATTAATTGTTTGCGCAGGAATTATTTTGGCTTTTATACGCACACAAATTTAGACAAACTTTAACTATTTTCATGAATGGTTTACGTTGGAATTTGGTTGAGAGATGCTATTTAACGTGACCAGGTCAAGTTCTTTGTGATCACTGCAAGCCAGGAAATGATTTATCAAGATGCATCACATAACCAGCATAACCAGCATAACCAGACCCAAAGTTAGACATGAGATGAATCACATCAGAATGGTGAAGAAGACAAACTGCCAAGTGTCACACAGAGAAACTTTGTGTGACCGCTCAGCTCTCAGAAGTGTTTTGGTGAACTCTGAAATGTTTGAAGTAAACAGATTCCAGCTCAAAACACTAACACACAGGTGTCTCTCAAGGAAAATGTATTTTCTGAAAACAGAACAGAGAAGTTTGTTAAAACACATAATAATATTTCACATGATTTCACTATAATGACTAAAAACAATAATCAGCATTATTCATGTTCCCACATCATAATCATATTGCAATGCTTTATTATCTGGGTGTCCAAAAACTTCTTTAAAATGTCTTCAGTTGATCCAAAAAGCTGCTGCCAGAGTCTTAACTGGAGTTAGTGGGAGAGATCATCTCTCTCCAGTTTTACCTTCTCTCCATTGGCTCCCTGTCAAGTCCAGAATAGAATTCAAATTTTTACTTCTAACCTACAAAGCCCTCAACAACCTAGCTCCATCTTATATTTCAGATCTTATTGTTCCATAATTTCCTAACAGAGCACTTTGCTCTCAGACTGCAGGCTTACTTGTGGATCCTAGAGTTTCCAAAAGCAGAATGGGAGGAAGATCTTTCAGTTCTCAGGATCCTCTTGTGGAACCAACTCCCAGTTTCTGTCCATGAGGCTGACACAATGTCCAGTTTTAAGACTGGGATTAAGAATTTCCTTTTTGATAAATCCTATAATTAGGGTTGGCTTGTTATGCTGCTATAGGCTTAGACTACTAGAGGACAAATTGACCATATCTTAAAATTAATTGTTACAATAATAATAGTTTTCATTTTATACTATTTCTATCTTAATGTGATTCTCAACCTTCCATTGTGTATCTGTTCCTCCTTCCTGTTCCTCTCAAACCCAGCCAGTCGAAGCAGATGGTTGCTTGTCCTGAGCCTGGTTCTGCTAAAGGTTTCTTCCTCATGAGGGAGTTTTTCCTTTCCACTGTCGCCTTCGTGCTTGTTCAAGATGAGTCTGTGATGGAGTTAAACTCAAAGCAGTCTGCTCCTCAGATAAATAATGTTAAATTATTATTTTTATATCTGAATGTTTCTGTTCAGTGCCCTGAGATGACTTCTGTTGTAACTTGGTGCTATGTCAATAAACTGAATTGAATAATCAAATAAATCAAACTGCATTAATGATTTGTGATTTTTTTTATTTCTTAAAAGCCTAAAAAAGAAAAGAGTAAACATTGTGAATGTGGAAAACATCAGACATTATTCAAGTCAAAAGCGACTTTAAAGAAAATATTTCATGGTGAATCTGGAAGACAACCTAAAGGTCAAAGGTCATAGTCAGGGGAGTGAAACATCATGCTACGAATGTCAAAATGGATGTCTTTATAGTGAGATGTACTTAATGTTCTTTATTAAAAGTAACTTTAGTTCTATGCTTAAAACATAACCAACATTTTTTTTTTCTTTGTCTATATTAGATTTGCACTCGGTCAGTTAATTTTATAGTTCTGCACTGAATATGTTTGCACTTTTATTGAAACCAAGCGGGGTAGTCCATTTTCATTAGGTCTCCAAACAAAATAAAATCAAATACATCATTTAATTAAGTTGAACAGTTCCTTTGCGTAAGAGTCTGTGTAACAAATGTATAAACAGTGGAACAACCGCCGACTGTTTGCTTTCTTGTATCTTTTACGAGCGCTGACTCACAGGTGTACACAGGCCTCTGAGGCAGTTTTCTCTTTTGTTAGTAACACATTCATTAAAATAAATCACAAAGAGGTATTTGGGGGAGGTTTTTTTTTCCCCGCTTCATGTCACTCGGCATCATTCGCTGTGATCCCAGAGATCTCATTATGCGTTCAGAGAAACAATAAAACCAATCTGCGTCAGAGATGGGTTTGTATTGTGCTGCACCAACTGGCGGCAGCTTTGTTTAAATATGGAGGGGCTTTCCTTTGAATGCAACAATGACACCATTATGAAATCTGTCAGGTATAAGGGCTGAGGGAAATTCAATCTGCCCAAGTATCTGAAGGCAATGGAAAAAACATTCATACAACAATAAATATTTCACAAAGAGAAGAAATTTGTATTTGATTGTCTACTCGTAACAATGCTTCTTGTCAATGAATCTTTCACTGTTGGAAAACCTGTTTATTTTCCCTTAAGTGCCACATTTGTTGTTTTTCACACCAGATACTGAAAGCAAAGGTTTGCATACTTTGTCCACTCACAAATATGTAATATTGGATCATTTTCCTCAATAAATAAATGACCAAGTATAATATTTTTTGTCTCTTTTGTTTAACTGGGTTCTCTTTATCTACTTTTAGGACTTTTGTGAAAATCTGATGATGTTTTAGGCCATATTTATTCAGAAATATAGAAAATTTTAAAGAGTTTATAAATATTCAAGCACCACAGTAAGAGGAAATAAGCATGCTTCCCAACAGTACAAGATTTAGTGCCAAAATGTATTTTACAATGAAGAAAAACAAATCTACTAAATTTCAATTAATCAACTAATTTATTTACTTTTTGTGCTACGTTTTATCAAACCAAGAGTTTGCAAGAAATTGCAAAGTGGTATGTAGAGACATAGCCAGCTGTAGTGACTTGGTTGAAATATTCACAATAACTGCATGTTGTCTAATTTTGTTGGTTCCCTTGAATTAAACATCACAGCACGATGGATCAGTGGTTAGCACTGTTGCCTCACAGCAAGAAGGTCCTGGGTTCAATCCCCGGTTGGACCTGGGGTCTTTCTGTGTGGAGTTTGCATGTTCTTCTCGTGCTTGCGTGAA